ATAGAAAAGCAATGTTCTTTAAATAATATGTAATCTTATGTATCCATCTAATTTAAAACATTGTGTTAAAGAAATCTAAATAAGCAAAGTAAGCGAGAACACGTTACACGACACAAAAAACGTTGCCAAAAAAAAAAAAATGTTCAACGTTACAATCTTACAGGTATTATTAAATTACTCAAAAAGTTATTCTGATATGCAACAAAAAATACTAAATACTCTGTTATTAAATAATAATAATACTTACGAAGGACATGACACGGAAAATACTCGTCTGTCAATGTCAACTAATATTCAAAAACAAAAGAATAAGTTAATGAATATATGTGTTTGCAGTTGGAAAATATGAAACTTTTTTTTAACACTACATATACATGCTAAGTAAAATATGACTATTCTTTAATAAAAAGTAATAATGAAGGTTTTTTTTCTCACATTTTTAAGCGCTCATTTGAGCTGAAATTTTCTATACGCTATTGTTTTAGGCAAAAATATGATAATTTAATTATAATTAATTAAAATTAATTGACTGAAACTAATTATTCAAAGAATTACAGATACAGCCACGTTGGTTTCATTTTTAGGGAGTTGGGGGGTTAAAACTTTAAAAGATTTTTTCACGTTTTAAAGCATTCAGTTGAACTGAAATTTTATATACATGATTGTTTCGGATGATAATACAATACTTTAATGATAATGAATAAAAATTAATTACCACTTAATGTTGTGATTCTGTCCTATGTATATACATATTTATATTAATTGTAACTATTTAATAAAAAGTAGCTAAAATAAAAATTTTATTTGTTGATCTAAATAGGAATTGACTTAAAATAAAATTTTTATGTTACTTGTTATTAATACTTCTCAAACAAATTCGCAATCAAATTTATAAGAGAATAGTTTAATATTTTTTCAAAATACGAGGGCAATTCGGAAACTAACCGCCATTTGGGCGTGGCGCTGGAACTACGGTTCGGAGAGCCCTCAATCGAATGCAAGAGCAATCTCTGACTTAAGGACTTATCACACGTATATTTTTCATGCAATTTTTTCGTCCAATTTTTGGCCAAATCTGATGGGGAAGGGTTGCCGTAAGTAAAACGACATACTCTGACGTCAGCCGCGCTCTATCTCCTCATTGAAAAATTACTCGCCGATTTTTCTGCTTCGGAAAACGAACAGCCAAAATTATTCCTTTCATTTCGCTTGCACTTTTCTTGATGGTTTGTAAACAGAAATAGAGTACCATTCTATTTAAAATATTATACGCCGTTAAAATACTATACACCATTAAAATATTATACGGCATATCTGAAGTGTTAGACGAAACCGAAGCAGCCATCTTGTTTATGACGTAGGGCGCCGAAGAACCCCATTGGATGGAATTTCAAGCAAATTTTATTTGGAACAACTTTTTGAGCTCGCTAGCAAAAAATTGTTCTAAAGCGGTTGCTATGGCAACTGAGTAAAAATTGCACGAATTGGACGAAAAATTGCTTGAAACGTGTACGTGTGATACTGCCTTTAGTAAGCTTCCAGTCGGCGAGTGAGAGTGTCGTAGGGCCAAGAGTTTGCTAGTTATAAAGTGACAAAATGTGTGCTGTCCCGCGAAATGTGAGATGCGAAGAGTGATAAGCTTTCATTGGGTCAAGAAAGTGTGAAGCAGTGGATATCCATCGTGGATTGTGTGCCGTATACGGACCAAACATCATGAGTGAAGGTGTAGTGCAGGGGTGGCGAACCTTTATGGAGCAACGTGCCATTTTTTCTAAAGAAATATTTGATGAGGCATAGACGTGCCGTCAAATACTTTTAACTTTTGATTTTGGGGAAAACATTACAATTAAGTACTGACAATTCAAAACTATTTACTACGAAAAAATACATTTCGCATTGTACATTAGTAAATGTTTTAGTTATAGATGTAATCCAAATTATAAAATAACGTTAGTGTGACTTCTGTTGCTGTAGATTAAATGACAACTTATATTAGGATTGTAACATGTTACTTTTAGCAGAATGCCTGCTGAATTGGAGTCATCCGCCAAAGCGGTTTCTAAGCAAGTATTTTATGTTATTGATCTCTAAAAATAATGACACACAGGCATAGGTAGGTGAAAATAGGGTTGAAATAGCATGAGCCATCTTCTACAAACAGTTAAATGTGACTGGAATTGAATTCCATGTTTCGAATATTTCATTAATGGCATTTTTACTTATATTTCTTTTATTAATCTTCCTGTTTCAATCAACTCCAAATTTTTCCTTATTTCAACATATTTCTGACTCCACATTGAATAAAACTGGAAATCAATCAGTTGCGTTACAAATTCTTCAGTTTCCAACCAATCGAATTGGGACAAAGTTCAGTTTATCAAATGAAGTCATATCAAGGTACAAAATAAACTTGAGCGTTGTGTTTCCGAGAATTCATGAAACTGAGAAAATCTTGCTGAAAATTCCTTGATTGAAGAATTGATTACGGAAATGAAAAAAATAATCGTAAATATAACACAAATAAATTTTAAAATACAGTTGTATCAACGAAATTGACTATGCTATGCTTAGATTAACTTCGCATCATTAGCATTTGAAGTCCACAATGCAACTAAGGCAAAGTAATAACCAATGAGTGTGCTCCCCGCAGCCAGGAGACCGATCATTTGCGTTTGTTCGTAATACTTCATAGTGAACTTTGTTATTTTGAACTAATACGCAAACCGTTTTGATCGGTGGCGTGCCCAAAATATTGTGATGCGTGCCATTGTTTCTCCATCCCTGGTGTAGTGCATCAATGGATACGCTTTTTCAAGGATGGTAAAACAAACATCCATGAGGAATCACGGAATGGATGCTGATCTCATCAAAGAAAAAAAATTGATGAAAAATTTCGTTTGCTCTGCAATTTCACAATCTCCTAAATTTCAGAACACTTTCCAAACATTTCTCGGACAGTTTTGTATAAGATAGTCACGGGAACACGTTGTGACATGTTGGTTTAAATCGCAGGTAGCCACTTTTATACAATATTAATTGGTAAATTGATAAAACAATACAAGTGCTTGAATATTGGGAAATAGAGGAGAGCTGTACCTTTGATATGTAAATAAATTTTTTTCTCCTCTGTCTTGGTTTGTTTTTTACAACGATTCGGAGGTTACTTTCCGAATTGCCCTCGTAATATAACCTCTTCATCATACACGAGATACAAACAAGTTTAGATTTGTCCACATATAATTGTTAACATGTACGGGCTCGTAAAAATTAAAACTTATATTTATTATTATTTTGTAACTTTAAATGAGTCTTTAAAAGATTTTTAACTTGCTTCGTAGAATAAATAAATAAAATCATCTATGGTGCACAAACTATAGAAAGTATATAATGTACAATTTTCTCTTTTTCATGAATCTTATTTTAAATTCTTAAAAAACTTTTGAAAACTGTTCATTTTTTTTTTTAAGCCAGTTGATTTTTTTCCTTCTTTTTATTCTATGCTATATTCAATTATAATCAAACGTAAAAGATTTTTACCAATTACATTTCAAGAAATTGTAGTGTTTTTGCAATTCGAATTGTTATGTCTTTGTTTTTTGCCTAACTTCTGAATCATTTACCAATACAAAAGAATGATCGTCTCTTTGAAATGAACGCTGTTGCAAAAGATCTATTTAAAGCAAAAGTGGCTTTTTATCTCTCTCTGAAAACTTCACCGTTGAAGTGGGTTGTAAAACCTCCAGCTGTGAGAAACAAAGAAAATCTCCCAGAATATTATTTTATTTAACCTCTCAATGTAAATATGAAATCAACCTCCTTTTAACATATCCACTATCAATTATTATTTTCAAATACAATTGCAATAATACGTGATTAAAACATTCTTTTATTTGTTGTTAAATATGAATTGAAAGAATGATCGAAGAGTTCAAATATAGTTCTCAAAAAGAGCCCTCAAGTAAAATTAAGTTCAAACTCTTAATAACTGTTTCCACACACACACACACACATTATATTTTACTTTTGTCTTTGATATCCGCATCATTTCAATTGTATATCACTACATAAAAATCATTTGAAATCCCCAAGCGTTCTAAAAATTAAAATTCGAAAGAAAATTCAAAAATACAGTAGAACGTTGTTTTTCTGAACGTTTATTATCCGGAACGTCAAACATCCGGACCCCACACAGTTTTTTTTTGAAGTTATACTTCTTTTGGGGAGTTAGAGAAATAGGATGAGGGTAAATTTTTACAATGCGCGCGCACACCGTCACGGATGTGAAGCACACCATCACGGATGCTAAAATCCTTTGTCTAGAAATATACAAAACGGGACAAATCATTCCCACCTTCGAAATTCTCAGAAAAATACTTATCCTCACTTCCCTGATGAAGGGGACACCCGGGTTTGAACCGGAGACCTCTCGATCTGCAGCCGAATGCTCTACCACTGAGCTATACACTCGAGTCAGTGAACCTTTGCTTTGTGTTCCACAAAAATGCTTTGTCTAGAAATATACAGAACGGGACAGATCATTGCCGCCTTCGAAATTCTCAAAAAAATTATTTCTCTTCACTTCCCTGAAAATGGGGGAACACGGGTTTGAATCGGGATCTCCTGATCTGCAGTCGAATGCTCTACCACTGAGCTATACACTCGCGTCAGTGAACCTTTGCTTTGCGTTCCGTAGGAACTGATACGAAAATGCGTTTTGTCTAGAAATATACAGAATGGGACAGATCATTCCCGCCTTCAAATTCCTCAAACAAAATTTTCGCTTCACTTCCCTGAAGAAGACTCCCGGGTTTGAACCAGGGACCACTCGATCTGCAGTCGAATACTCTACCGCTGAGCTATACCCTCGCGTCAGCTAATCTTTGCTTTGCGTTCCGTAGGAACGGATACGAAAATGCTTTGATTAGAAATATTCAGAACGGGACAGGTCATTCCCGCCTTCGAATTTCTCAAACAAATATTTCTCTTCACTTCCCTGAAGAAGGGAGCATCCGAGTTGGAATCGGGGACCTCTCGATCTGCAGTCGAATGCTCTACCACTGAGCTATTGCTATGCGTTCCGTAGGAACGGATACGAAAATGCTTTATCTAGAAATATGAAAAATGGGACAGATCATTCCCGCCTTCAAACCCCTCCCCATATTATTGGTCCTATTGTCCCTGTGTGGAGGTGTTTAAATTTATTTAAATCCTGATTATCTCAGGTTTGGCTGGTCCGATTGACTGAAAGTTAGTATCGTTCAACTCTGCTCGTGACCGCCTTTCGTCCTTGGCCCAGCTTGCCCTGATAAAGACTTTTAGAAAGATTTTAATCTTGTTATGCCAAAGAAGTATAACTTCTTACGTGCGTACATAAGTACACACACACTTTTTTTAATCAGCTACATGTACTGTATATGAGTACGTTTTCGAACAGTGCAATGCTCAACAGTTGTTTCACGTGGGGCCAAAAGTGACGGGAAGACTCAAGGTCAGGGATATTTGGGGAATTTCAATTATGTGATTTGGTAAAATCTGCCCAAACATCGATCCAAGTATTTCAAGAATACGATGAAGATGTAGAAACCTGGATGGCATGTGATGGAGAAGACTGTGGATTTCAAATGCTAAATAATGACAAGATTGAATCAAGAAGAATCCTACCCTGTCAACGATGAAACGGATGAAGACGAGGACAACAACGAAAGTAGCAAGGGTCCATCAAATGCTGACGCGTTTTCTGCTTTAGAGACATCTATGGAGTGGTACGAACAACAGAGTGCTGTCCTACTCAACTACTGCTACTCAAGAGAATTTGACACCTTGCAGCGAAAAAAACGAATGCGTACAATGGTACAGCGAAAAATAAGTGATTATTTTCCACAATAAAGGTAAAATTGCGACATTTTGCTTTTTTTTTTCAAGCACGTTTCCCGCATGTGATGATTTTCGATATTCGTATAGTGTCCAGTTTCATATACTGCATGGATCGCATTCGGTTATTCGAACACTAGCATATCCGAACGGTGTCCGGTCCCAATTGATTCGGATAAACGATGTTCTACTGTATAATGATTTGTATTAGTTCTGCTCTTTTTTTTTTGTTCTTCATTTCTATTTATGTCTAGAAACGTTTAAAAGGCAATATATGAAAATCAACCTTTTTCCTCCCTCGGTATAGTAATAAAAAAAATACTTAATTTTATCAGATGTACACTTTTGGATCTTTTCCTTTATTTTTTTTTTCCTATAGTTTCGATAAAAAAAAGAGAGAGAAGGTGAAAAGACCTCACAAGCAGGCAGGAAATGGGCTATATATTTCTCATGTACATCTGAATTGCGAAATAATTAGAATTAGAAAAAGGAAAATGATTATAATCAATAGAATTACGAAAAAAGACTAAGGTTAACAAATGAAAAATACTAAAGAAAAGCGAAAAGTACTGAAATAAACTTAACCTTATAGAAAAATCAGCTATGTTTAGTGCCACTTATATTTCTAAATAACGTGTTTTGGGGTGTGTGTGTGTTTTGTGTGTGTGTGTGTGTGTGTGTGTGTGTGTGTGTGTGTGTGTGTGTGTGTGTGTGTGTGTGTGTGTGTGTGTGTGTGTGTGTGTGTGTGTGTGTGTGTGTGTGTGTGTGTGTGTGTGTGTGTGTGTGTGTGTGTGTGTGTGTGTGTGTGTGTGTGTGTGTGTGTGTGTGTGTGTGTGTGTGTGTGTGTGTGTGTGTGTGTGTGTGTGTGTGTGTGTTTAGTTATTTTTTGTTGTGTTTAATTTTTAATTCTATTTTTTAAATTATATAAAGATTAGAGTTTCTTGTGGAGTAATGCAGCAGAAAAATGAATGAAAACAAAAATAAACTCCAAAATATGCCTCAGAATTCAAACGAACATTGTCCTACATTGGTACCAATTTTATTGGAACTGAAATTATCAAAAGCAACTTTAAAGAAATGCACCTATATATCGTAAATTACAGAGTCGCATTTTAACCTATATGGAAGATTTTGACTCCTGGAATAATTACTTCCCTCAAAAATAATTTTCCCACTTTCAATCAATAGTCCCAAATATGAAAAATCAGATCAGGAACAGAATTATCTCACAAATTAATTTGCTTGTCCCACTTGGATCATATGAGTTGCAGAAGATGTAACTTTCCTTCTTCAGTTGCAAAAACAAACATGACTTTGTGCTGAAGTCATGGAAAATTCCTCGTAACTTTCTACCTGGAGGACAAAAAGACTTAAAAAGAAAAAGTATCTGTCGGAATGTGTGATATTAAAGAAGATTATTCCATCAAGAGCCATCTTCGTCTTGCTTTCCTGAGCAAGGAGGTTGCTGGAGGTTTTTCCGAATGTTCTGTTTTCGTTTTCTAAACGTTCTGGATGAGGGATTTTAGCCTTCGCTTTGCTGCAGGTTGCCATTCGGCACGGATGATCAACGCAAGTGAATGTTCTCCGTGGAAATCCGAAGAAAATGCAGACGATACGCCCGTGATTACAGAATGGAACGTCTGTCAGGAAAGTAACATCTAAACTTTTGGCCTTGCTCAAAGTGGATTGATAGATTAATACATTTAATAGCCGCTAGATGCTAATATTAACGAGAAAGATTTATTATTTTTCATATACTTAATAAAAATAATTTACGGTGAAAGTGTTTCAGGCATAAAAAAAAAATGGAACATTGTATTCGTTGCATTTTTTTGTCTAATTGGAGAGCAATGTCAATGTATGGAAATCATGTTAAACACCAGAAAATTTGAATTTATTCATTAGGTGATAAATACAATAGTGGATATGAACTTAAAGTAATTTCATAGAACGTTGTTAACAGGATATAAGCAATTTTATAGAACTTTTCATCTAATTAGAAAGCAATGTCAATGTACTGCAACCGTGTCAAACACCAGAAAATTTGAATTTAGGCATTAGGTGGTAAATACAATGGAGAGTAGTAACAGAAAGAAAAAAATTTGTAAAATAATGTTAGAACACAGTTTATTCTGATTACAGGAAAAATTGAACTTGTGTGGAATATTGTATATGTTGGTATGTGCATTGTAGCAAAATTTAGTAATGGAAAAACTCATGACATACAATCACGTGTTTTTCAAGGAATTCAAAGCTTATATTAGGCTTAAACTTGTTGTAATTGAAAAATGCAGATGCAGTTTTAAATTTGAACATTTAATTAAGATGTCCAAATATATATATTCTTTAAAAAGTGTTTCTAAAAAAATGATATATTGTACGAGGACTTTTAAATCAAGAATATTTTTTTTAATCTATGCGTGTTGATATTGTTAACATATATGCATTTTTAGAAGGAACTCTCTTCAAAAACAACTGGTGGCAACAGTGAGGCCACCAGTTAGTTGGTTAGAAACAAGTGAATGCATTTATCATGTGACTATGACGCCACACTATAAATGTTCATTGTTTTGCCGACGTGTTTTGACATAAATTGATAAACACGGAATCACTCTTAAAGAAAATAGAGACTTCTAAAAAGGAATCTTTGTAACTTGAGAAACTGTGATAAAATTATCGAAGTTCATAATTTTTTTTTTAATTAATTATGAAATCATTCAACTTTTTAATAAAGTAAAATGATTCAAAAAAACATTATTAATTTGGAAAATTGTATAAATCAAGAATTAGTTTAGGGTGGGGGGTACCACATTGCTTTAATTTATCACCAGCTTAAGAGATAAATGGAGAACGTTTTCTTATTTCGATTATTTATGGATAATTGAACTATATTTATAAAATCTGTTAATATAAGATATTTAAAACTGATATTGTTAATTTTAATAACTACTTTGCAGACCACTTTATCTCCCTCCCTCGATAATACTTGAATCCTTTGCCAATGTGGTCTCCTCTTCCACAACTTAATTATAATAAAATTTTAAAAAATAACTAAGATCAAGCTCTATTAATTTCTTTTATTTAAAAACGGTATCTAAATAGTAGCCTATATCATCAGGAAGAATATAATTTTAAGGATATATAATCAGAATATATATATTTGATTTTATGGAAATGAAATGTATCAAATTTGTTCAGACTTAATTGATTTTTATATTGATGCAATTAATCTATTCATTTGGAACATCTTAAAAGAACAATCTGAGTTTTAAATTGATTGTTCTTAACGATGCAACCATTTATAACAACTACAAAAGGAAACACATGCTATACAAAAAAAAAATGTACTTCATTATCCGGTTCATTGAATAGAACAGAAGGGAATATTTACTCATCAAAAACCAATCTAATACATTTTATTCAACCACAGAATAATAAACATTTCTTGACAGAACTGGAATAACCGAACCAGCTATTTGTATTACCAATTGCACTCGGAAACCTCAGAGAAATCAATCAAACTTGGATTACAAATGTATATGAACGCAGCGAATCCGGTCTTTCATTAAAAATATGTGATCAATAAAATCGAATGAACAAAATTGAGAACCCCTTCAAAAACTAATTCTATCTTACTTTTCCTTATTTTGTTGCTGTCCATTTGCATTCCGAATACTGAACTGTTTTCCTCCGGGTCAAGTTTGAGTGAGAAAGCACACACTCCGTCGCTTTTTACTTATTTAATTATTTCTTCGGGTGGAAGAGGAAATGATAAATTATATTTCGTATTTGCGTGGTGAAGTATTGCTATTTTTTTACACCTTGTTTTCGAAGACTTGAGTAATGCGTTTCTGTGCCGCAAAGGGCGCGAATCTTCGAGTCATGCTGATGGTAATGAAGTTTCGCGCTCTTTTAACATTGTTCCATTCCACCTTCACAAGGTCGAAAGGGTTGTTTTCGGGAGGTGCATGACCCTGTTTGCTGTGTGTGTACGGAAATAAGCCGATTCATTATGCTTCAGAGGTATTTCATAAGTTTTAATTTCATGCCTTACGCGTTTTTGTTAATAAAGAATCTCACGCTCTTGTGTGTGTGTGTGACTGAAAGAAAATGAAGACTTAAGTATCAAGTTGCACTGAAAAGTTAATTTTCGGTTAATTACCACATGCAAGCAAGTGATATATATAATTGTAAATTGGACTCGATGT